CTAGTTACTCTTACTTTTGAATGACAGTGTATTAAGCACTACCCAGGTGCCTAGCATGCCTTAGCTCATTATCCTCCCAGGACCCGGTGAAGCACGTACGATTGTGACACATGCCACACAAGGGCACAATGAGACTCAGAGAGGTTTGGTGGCTGAGGCAAAGGCACAGGCAAAACAATGAATTCCAAGCCCGGAATCCTAGCCCAGTGCCCGTGCCCTTCAACGCCAATGTCCGGCCGCTTCCTTAGGCGGGACGTCCTGTCCTTGGGACCTCGGCACCAACATTCTCGGCTCCTGCCCTGCACCAGGTCAGAAAGCAGTTGGAGGCCATCTGAGCGGCGGCAAGATCTGGAAGACCACTCGGGCTCCCTCCTTTCTGGAGGGGCAGCAACTTCCCCTCTGTGGCACCTAAATAGAGCAGGAGGCCACACGGGAGAAACGGTGCCCCTCCTTGCTGGGGTTCATGTCTCCATCTGCGTCTCTGCCGAGGAGAGGCAGGAGCCCACGCCCTCTGGTCCTACTGCGTGGGTTTGCCAAGTTAACCCTGAACCAAATTGGTCAGGGACCAGGAACGCTGTTCAAGCTTCAGAAATAAAATGGTAAGAAATTGAAAATTAAACGAGCGTCCAGTGTTTATCCAGTATAAGATGCAGCCAGGGTTACGGCAGCCTCCGGACAGCGGCAAGGATGGAGCCGATGCCAGAGTCGAGCACCGTCCGCCTCCTGATCTGCTCTCTGGATGGGCCGCATCCTTCGCAGAGAGGTAGGTCGCAGGCGATTGGTGGGTTCAGGTTGTTCCTGACAGGTCTTCAAGGATGCTGGACACGGGAAGTGAGAAACCTTCTCATACAAACGGCTCTCCCACACCTGAAGGTCGCACAGTACAGGAAGGGAACAACCCAGATGGGAAGAGCCACTGAAAGGCCCCCAGAGCCCTGGCTGGTTTGGCTCAGCAGTTAGAGTGTCAGTCCGCAGACCAGAGAGAACCGGGTTTGGTTCCCGCTAAGGGCACGTACCTCGGTTACAGTTTTCCCCAGCCCCGGTTGGGGTCGAGTGGGTGGCAGCCAGTCGATGTGTCTCTCTCACATCAATGTTTCTCTCTCTCTTCCTCCCTTTTTCCCTCCCACTCTATCTGAAGATAAATGCAAAAATGTCCTCAGGTGAGGATAAAAAAAGAAAAAGAAAAAGAAAGGCCCCCAGACACTCTCTGCTGCTGGCACTACACTGGCCGGGCTTAGCATCGTGATCAGTGAAACTGTATCCTTTCCTCTGCTTGAGGAGATGAACTACCGTTTCCCACTAGATGGCATCACACAGTCACATAAGTAAGGACAGGAGCTGGAAAGAGGCCTGATCAATATGCAGACCCGCCACGTGGTCCTTCAGCGTACTGAAGGTTTCTGTTTATTTGCTACAGTCAAACTTCTTCTGAAAATTAAAAGCAGACTAGTCAAGAGAAAAAAGTCCCCTTATTTGTCACCCCAATAACATTAGCTGACGTGTATCGTGCCCCTGAGAAAAGTGTGGGAACTAGAACCTAGGGGCACAGTGCCCTGTGCTCAGGCTGTCCCAGAGAGTGCCCCCTAAATGGGGCACCCCCAGGGGCACTCCCGTCCCCCCTGACCTAAGGAAGAAGGGACACCCCTCCCGCAGGGACCAGAAGGAAGGACGACAGATGTGGTGCAGCTGCAGGTGGCTTGGAAGTTGGTGAGGAAGTCTGGGGAGACCCATCCCCAGTGGAGGCGGAGGGCCCACTTTTGAGAATAGAGGAGGAGGAGATGGGTTTGAGGAAGGAGGCCTGTTCTGTTCAGGGAAACCCAGCAGAAAGCCGGGGCCAAGGAACCGGGGGAAGCTGGAGACTACAGGCATAGCTTTTCCCCTTGTCATCCCCCCTTCCTGTTTTTTTATTTGTTTTCCTCTTGGAAAAATTCTCATGCGAGTTCTGTCCAAGGCCGAGTCAGCGCTAAAGCCTTCTCCTCACAATGACTCCATCTACCGACACGCATGTCCCGAGTCCAATGTGTTAGAAGATAAGGAAGCTATTGCAGGAGAGAAAGAAAATGGACCGTGGGCTCGGTGTGGTTAAAACACGGTCATCTGGCACAGCACCCATTGTAACAATTTAAAAAATTTTTTTTAATATATTTGTATTTATTTTTTTAGAGAGAGAGAAACATCGATGTGAGAGACACATCGACTGGCTGCCATGTGCACGACCCCCACCGGGGATCTAGCTCGAAACCCGGGCATGAGCCCTGACTGGGAATTGAACTGGGACCTCTCAGTCCATGGGCCGCTGAGCCACACCAGCCGGGCTGTCATGATTTTTTATAAAGTAAAATTGAGAGCAATTACATGAAGATTCATCTGATTTTCCTTAGAGGTTCTGAACCTCACACGTGTTACAGCACTAACAGAAAGAAAGGCTATGAAGTTAAAGGGAATTTGGAAAGAACTGTCATCTTTGTTTTTATCCCCTTACATTGCGAGAGACGACGCAAGCTGCTCTTTAACATTCAGAGTCTCCGCCTGTATTGCCACTGCAGTGCAGTTAACTAGATGAAGTTGATCCTCTCTCCCAAAGCCGTAGCTCACCAAGGTAAACATCTACCTTCAAAGCCCTGGGCAAGGAAGCCCCGGGGGTTCTCCCCAGCACCTCCCCGCAGTTACACTCGGAGGCTGGGACAGAAGCTGGTCCCTGTGGATCCAGCCATGCAGGTAAGCGCACCCACCCACGGCACTTCCCTCTTCCCCCTCCTTCTCCGTGTCCCCATCATTTGGCTCCAGGCAGAGCTGTGTGGCTTCTGTGACGTCCCATCCTCATGAAGTATGGTTGCTGGGAGCTGCCAGCTCACTCGCAGTCATTTCAAAATGTCAGGAGTGGGACCTGCTTCCACAGCAAACTAAGTACTGTTGCTAGAGGAGAGGGGGGTGTACATGTGTGCGCACACACACACACACACACACACACACGGCACGTGCACACACACGTGCGCATGCACTGATGCCCAGCTTGCCCCATAAGGAACACATCTAAGTCAAGCTTGCAGTCACATTTGCTGATGAGAGACACTCTCTTTAAGAGACAGTTACCGAAAGTCTTGTCACAACAACAGAGACAACAGGTGTTTAAAATTGTGAGGACATACTGAAAATCACGAAGGTGAGAGGCAGATGGTTCTGACTGCTGTTTCTGACAGCAGACACAGAGAGGGCACAAAAAAGAAGGGAAGGAAGGAAGGAAGGAAGGAAGGAGGGAAGGAAGGAAGGAAGGAAGAGAAAACCCTGGGAGGTGTTTCTCATCCTGAGTAGTCCCATCCCCCACCCCCAACTGTCTCTGCAGTGATGGTCCTAGGGGAGGGGCTTCAGAAAGGTACTGGACTCCCACAACCTGCACTCCTTTGACAAGGATTCGAAATCTTTGGGGAAGGGGGAGGGGGAGGGAGGGGAAGGGGGTGCACACAGGCTGAAGTGCCCACCCTCAGGAACCACTGGGTCCTTGCTCCCCCACACTGATGGACAGACTCCCCTCCCAGGTCTCTGCCTGGAAGCCCACCACTCCCAGGAGCAGAGGCTGTGGCTCTTCCTTCTGCCGTTTGTTAAATTGTTCCACTAACTGGTTGTTTCACAGAACATTTAACATACAATCTGAGAAGCCTAAAGCCCCCGAATTCCAGAGCCCATGTCTTTCATCCCCTCCCTTCCTTAGCCCCAACCCTAACCCTCCCCCTCCTCCCCAAGGCCACAAGTGGGGGGGAGGGGCAGGAGGATTGGAAGTTTTGTTTTTAAAATGAAAGGGAATGGCCCTGGCTGGTTTGGCTCAGCAGTTGGAGCATTGGCCTTCAGACCAGAGAGTCCCAGGTTCTGTTCCCGCTAGGGGCACATACCAAAAAAAAAGTAAAATGAATGGAAATGTATTCTCTTTGAGGCTCCACAGCTCCAAAAAGTAAGGAGGGTCCCAGAGGGAGGCTAATTTCAACCAACAGGTGCTAATGTCGCAGGCCTTGAATCTTCTAGTGATGGAGACCCCCTCTTCTGTGAACCTTGATCATCTGGTAAGGATTTTCGCTTCTCCCCATGAGGGCAAGGTGTCCTTCTGGGCACCAGGCCTTATAGCTTATGGGCCTGGTCAGAACTGTCTGCCAAGAGCCCCAGCGGGTAATGGGAAAACCTGGCAATGTGGGGAGCCAGGGGTTGGGTTCAGGGTCAGGAGAGAGGCGGGCGCCAGAGGAGCTGGGTAAGTGGGAAGAACCAGGGCTCCGAGGATGTCGTCAGATGCGTGCTGCAGAGACGTCTCAGGAAAAGCAGCGGAGGGGGCTGCCACCCCCCGCACTTGGTGCCTGAAGCCACCTGGCAGACAAGCCAGGCCGTCCTGGCTCCCGGGCTTAGGTGAACCAAAGGTTTGTCTGGACAGTTGGGGCGTCTCGTGCTTCCAGTGACGCCACCCCTCCTTGTGGCCCCAGACTCGCGATACAAGTGGATGTCACCGCGACTCCTTGCCCAGCACCAGGGCCCTACAGAGCGATGCGAGTTTCCGCGGGGGCAGGGTCCCCAGGGGAGAGCAAGGGGGGTGCATGTTGAACTGGGCGACCGCGCCGCAATCTCGGGGGTCTGCAGGAGACCAGGCACCTGCCCGAGGGTCCAGGGCAATCGGGACTGCGGGGTTGAAGAGGTCGGGGTCGATGGGATCCCTGGGGACCCAGGGCGCCCATGGCAAAGGTGGAGAAGGGCTGGCAGAGGAGGCCCGGGGTGGCGGCGTGGTCGGAGCAGTCGAGGTGGGCGGGGCGGAGAGCTGACCTGGGCGGGACGGAGACAGCACTCCCCCAACCCTGGCGCAGGGGGAGGCTCCACACCGCACTCACCTGGGCTCCGACCCGACGGCATTTAAAGGGCAGCGGCCAGGCCGCGGGCAGCACTGGGAGCTGCAGGCGGCTGAGCTGCATGGGGCGCCCATGAGCTTCGGGGCAGAGCCTCCAGGCCAGGCCCGGGAGTGGCTGGACATGGCCACGTACTGCGACGGCTCGAGCGTCTGCCCGGCCCCGCACAGCCAGGCCCGCACAGCCTCGCACCCCGCGGGCTACAGGCGCGGTGACCTGGGCGCTGCAGGCGGTGGCCCGCGCCTGTGGCTGAACGCGCCGGCTCTCAGCCCCGCGCCCTACGCGTCGGGCGCCCTTCCCTCGCCGCCCTACGGGACCCCCAGCTATGCGGCCCCGGGCCCGCTCCTCGGAGCCCCGGGCGGGCTGACGGGCGCAGACCTCACCTGGCTGAGCCTCTCGGGCCAGCAGGAGCTGCTGAGGCTGGTGCGGCCTCCCTACTCCTACTCGGCGCTCATCGCCATGGCCATTCAGAGCGCGCCGCTGCGGAAACTGACGCTCAGCCAGATCTACCAGTACGTGGCCAGCAACTTCCCCTTCTACAAGCGCAGCAAGGCTGGCTGGCAGAACTCCATCCGCCACAACCTGTCGCTCAACGACTGCTTCAAGAAGGTGCCCCGCGACGAGGGCGACCCAGGTAACAGGGTCGCGAGGATCACCCCGTGGGGATTCCCGGCCTTCCAGGGAGGTGGAAAGCCTCCACCGCTCAGCCCTCGATGGACAGCTGGGGTGCGGAGGCAGGGAGGGGAGGGGCAGGAAGAGGAGGTGCGCTTGGCTGCGGACAGGCCAGCAGCAGGCAACAGAACCCCCAGGCCCTGACCTCAGGTCCAGTCCTCCCGGCATCGCGCAACCTCTGCACGCTCTGGTGAGCTGACCGGCTGGGGAGCCTTCGGACCCCCTTCTCCGGGCCTGGGGTCCTCTCTGTAAAAGGAGGAAGGCAGTGTCTATCCCAAGGATGGGCAGGACCAAGGAGGTGCCCCTTGGGGAAGTGCTGGGACCTGCACAGAGGCCCGGCCAGGTCATCCCTGTTCCACTGGCAGAGTCCAGAGTCTCTGCACCCGAGGGCTTTCCCTCTGCCCTTGAACTTAGGGGGCTCAGTATTTCCTGGGCGTCACCCCTCCCCATTTCCTCGGTAAAGCCCAAATTCTTTCCAGCCTGGCTATGGAGGCCTGTTGGTTCCGGTACAAAGTGCCACCCCAAGGCTGGGGAAGGGGGTGGGGCTCGGGGAATCTAAAGTTGACCTCCACTTCTCACGTTCACACATGGCCCCTTAAACCCCCGGTTTTCTGAGCTGGGCTCTGTCTTCCTTCACAGGCAAAGGCAATTACTGGACCCTGGACCCAAATTGCGAGAAGATGTTCGACAACGGGAACTTCCGGAGGAAGAGGAAGAGGAGAGGGGAGGCGAGCGCCCCTGAACTCCCGGGCGCCCGGAGCCAGGGAGCAGCCGCGAGGGAGCTGGACCCCCTGGGCGCAGCGTCCCCGGACCTGCAGGCCGCCCCGTCCCCGCCTGCGCCCGAGGCTGCCGCCTGCTTCTCCAGTTTCGCCTCGGCCATGGGCGCCCTGGCTGGCGGCCTCGGTACCTTCCCCGGGGGGTTGGCGGGCGACTTTTCTTTCGGGAGACCGACCGCGGTGGCTGCTGACGGCCCCCAATCCCCTGGCCCCTCGCCGGGCTTCCCCACTGGCCATCAGACTGCGGCCGCCGGCTTCCGTGTCAGTCACTTCGTGTACAGTCGGGAAGGGACGGAAGTTTGAAGGGATCCGGGATGGTCGCGAGCGCCTTAGCCAGAGGCGCGGAGCTGAAGTGCCTGTTTCCGCCGGTGACAGCCTCGTGCTGGCGCTGCGGCAGAGGTCAGGGCCCAGAGGGACCGCAGAGCCCCATTCAGAACTGAGCTGAGCGGTGCCCTGCGGCTTGGTGACCCCGCCTGTCACATGCCCCTCACCCAGGAGACCCTTCGGATGGGACAAGTGGGCTTTCCCTGCGCCTCTGGCCTTTCCAGTTCTGGGGTCTGGGACCCATGCGGCCCCCGGTGGAGCGGGCTGGGCTCAGCCACAGCTGTTTCCAAAGGAGTCTGGGGTGGCCCCTCCCCCCTCACTGGGGGTGCGTGAGGGGATTTGGGACTGCTGGGACTGGGCCCCTTTAAGAGGAACTTTCTAGTGTCTGGCGCTGCTGGAGGTGGAAGGGAGGAAGGCTGCCAAGTGGGCACACTTTGGGGAGTCCAGCTCCTTCCCCTGCCACTCAGGGAAGGTCTGGTTGACCCTGTCCCAACACCAGGCACCTCTGGGGACCACGGGAGCAGTGCCCGCTCCTGAGAGTCCCAGGATGGACTGGGTTGGCCTGACCCACCTGCACTCACACAGGCTCAGGGGAGGTAGCCCATGCCACCACCTTGTGGTCCTTCCTCTCTCCTGCCTGGCCCCTCGTCCCCCTTGGGCAGAGCTGCCCCTGCAGCAGAGCTGATAAGTGCCTCCTGTGGAATGTGAGGGCTCCCTCCCCTGTTTGTACTGACCCTGAAGGTTATCTTTAGAGCCATTAGGAGGCGACTTTTTGACCAGGGTACTCCCTGAGTTTCTGTCTGTCAACTGAGCCCTGCCCCCTCCCCTGGTCTTTTAGGTGCCTCCGGGGGTTTCAGGGCTTTGGCAGGGTCTTCTCCTTCTCTGCTCTGGAAAAGGGGCCTTCTCTTGGGGGGGGGCACTGCGAACTCGGAGGAGGGCAGAGGGTTTAGGGAGCCTGAGCTGATGGGCACTGGTGTGTGTGTGTGAGAGAGAGAGAGAGAGAGAGAGAGAGAGAGAGGAGGTTGAGGCCTCTACAGAACAAGAACGGGTGAATTTGGCCAGCTCGTGTTTCCCTGAGTTCCTGGGCGGCCAGGAAGTTGCTGCCTCCTGGACAGATCCTGCTGCTGCCCGCTCTGTTGTTGATCCTGTGTTGCCCAAACTCACAGCCCGCCCCACCCTTATGGGGGACACACTGCCCGAATGCAATATGATCAACGAAGGCCAGAACACAAAAAGAGAAAGAATTTTATTTGGAGACTATTTTAATAAACTAAGATGCTGAAAAGAAAGACCAGTTCTTGTGACTTGAATGTACAGGGCATGTCACACATCAGAAAATTCCACCACTGCTTCCAACCTCCCGGTGTGCGCTCTGCGTTGGCAGGACACCTGGAGAGAAACGATGCTTGGCTCTCAGTTTGCCGCCATTGGGGAAATACAGGTACACTTGACAATGAATGGGACCTTCAGGAAACTGGCGACACATCGACACATAGGTATGTGAACGTAGCACACGGCTACTAGGCACGGGTGTGAAGGTGATTTCTTTTGATTCCAACAATGGATTTTCTGTTAAAACAGAGAGGGGGCAAAAAATTTTTTCAAAAAGATTTTTCCAACTTTTGGTTTGACTAAAACATCAATTTTTGTGAGTTAAAAAGTGTTCATCCTTTCAAGCTTTATGGCATGAATAGGTGATGATGTAATCAAATGAAATCTTTATGAGAAATGCATGGTTTAAAATAATTCTAGCAGAGCAGGGTATTTGGAACTCAAAATCCATTCCTCTTCGTGACGGTCGGTGTGTCTGGGTGTGTCTGCACGTGGTGGGGGCCCTGGCGCTGTCCCCTTCAGAGCCACTTCTCATTGTCCCAGAGAATATCTTCTCAGAGAAAAGAAACTGCTCAAATCAAAATAACAAACAGACCAAAGCACGTTGTGACCAGTTTCCAATTAAATACTTTCTTCTGGCAGGGACTCGGTGAACTTGACCGTAGTTTCGAAAGTGGCTGCACATGGGCAAATGAGGGACCAACTCCTGTTGGTCAGTCCTGGGCCCCGCTGCCCAGGGCCGGGAGAATCCTCGCTCTGGGGCTCGGACCCCATCTCCACCTCTCTGTCCCCTGGCTGTCTCTGAAATAGCGAAGCTATAGAAAATTTCAGATCAGTGCTGTACAAAGCATAAGCCTTTATAAAAGAAGTGCCTTGGTAGGATGTCGCGGGCACATGGTGGTACGACATTGGAGTGATCCGTTCTTAGTCTGAATACATGTCAGTGGTGCTGCAAAGCTTTGGGTCTGGAAACGAGAGGACGAATAACACTGCCAGACACCAAGTTGTCAGGAGTCCTCTCCAGGGCCAAACAGTGGTGGGAATTTTCAGGCGATTGGAAACCAAACAGCATAATAATCAAAAGAGTTACAATCTCCCCTGGAAACAGACTGGTCACTGGGAGAAAAGGATCCCCAAGCCAAAAAGAAACGTGATGAAGACTCAAAAATGTGTTAAGAGCATCTTTTATAGTTTATTTCCTAAAATAAAAGTGTAGTAGTAACTAGTGTTTTAAAAAGTGAACACTGGATTTCAAGATACCAGTTTACATTCTACATATTGATGAAAACATTGAATGTTTATTTATGACGAACGTAAGTTTTGCATTTGAGCAAAGTTGCCTGGGGACATGCATGTGCAACTTTTAATGTTTAACATCCTGAGTGTGTCCATCACAATCAAGTGGTGTATTTCATTCAGGGGAAGAACATCCTGAGTGTGTCCATCACAATCAAGTGGTGTATTTCATTCAGGGGAAGAACATTTCAGTAGTTATAACTCTTAGTGAAACAGGAACCGAGTCAAAGGCTAAGTGATCTCCAGAGCTCTAAGGACTCCTGCTGGACACACTACCTCTCAGTGGCCCGTACTCAGAAATGCACCTGCACACACACTCATCCACACACATACGCACAAACACACACATCACAGAGCCAAGAGCCTCAAGAGAGAGGTGATCACACCTACCCCTGCTACACAAAGGCATCGCGTTTTCAAATAACTGTGAGAATGTCCCATTTGCATCCGGGATTTGACCCCAGCCGGAGAGGAAGGTGCAGACATCACTGAGTCACGCACACCCTAATAAAATACGGTGCGTTCACGAAATCCTCCCGGGTGCCAGTCCGGACTGGGCTCTGCGATAAGCCTGCAGCGAATGGCCTGTGCCCGGTGCTGCCCTCGAAAGCTTCCTTCCAGGAACGAGACGGAGGAGGGGCAATGTCAGCCTGCACTGGGGCTCCTGGACTTCACACGATGACTTTATGGTCCAATCAATAAGCTGTCTCGTTTGTAAACACAAAATACCGCCCTGGGCCTTGGAAGACACCTCATTGCGTGTCCTGCACGCTGCTAACTCGGGACGTTTGACTTCTCTGTTGTTTAACTTCACTGTGACTGAGGCCAGGGGCTGGCCACTGCCCTGCGCTGGAGCAAGTCCAGTCCGCTCCCTTCTCTGTGGCCCCACCGAGGAGCCTTAACACAGCGCTGCCGTCTGAGGGTTCAGGAGCGGCAAGTGCTGTGAGCACAGCCGGCCCTTCCCGGAGTCCTGCAGACGGAGGCCCGCGACACCTCCCTGCATCCATTAGTTGACGTTTGGGGAACTTTTTCTCTTTTAATCCAATGTGAAGGCTGCTGCACCACATTATTCAAGGAGAACTGCTTGGCACCTGCAATCAGTTGACCCTGATCAGCAGTCACCAGTGGCTGAACAAGAAGCACGTGAACTCGTTTAGTTTCACTCAGTTCATGAAGGGTAAATGCACAGTGTATTCAATTGGAATTTCACACACACTCTGGAATGGGACCCCTGCTCTAATACAGAGCAAGCTGAACGGGGGAGTCACTGGGGCTTCCTCTACCACCAAGAACCACACACTCACCCGTCAGATGTTGGCTCAACATCAAGGTGACAAGGAATCTGTCAGATGTTTAATAGACATCATTTCATGAAACCCACAAAATCACCCGGTGAGGCAAGTGTTATGATCCCATCTTACTGATGCAGAAACTGAGGCTGTGACGAAGGACCTGACTTCTTTCCCAGAGGCTACAGATCAGACTGAGCTGTGTCAGCGGGAACCCCCCTAGTGCCTGCCCCAGAATTCCCTCCTCCCACGTCACCCTTCAGGTTCTGGAGAACCCTCACTTTGCAGGAATCGATCCCCGATATCCGAAGTCAAAGTTAGGTGCCCCTCCACTCTGCTCCTGGAGCCCCGGATGGACTGTGTCACATCCCCCAAAACTGTAGTCTATGTGGGGAGGAGCCTGCCGGCTTTATTTCGCAGTAACATACCCAGCGTTGACTCCCCAGTGGGAACAGGTGAATGAATGAATGAAGAGTATAGTTGTACCCTAAGCTTGCCATACACTCTCCTTCTCATCAGAGGGGTCTCCTCCCATGGTAAGCCCCTCTTAAGCCCCCCAGTCTCCTATGAGGGGCCTGATTCTCCTCAAAGAGGACCAGGCCTTCTGCTGGACCCTCCAGATACGAAAATCAATGAGACAGAATCCTGGGGACAACTGCTGGTGTGCAGAGGGCCCCCTGATTCCGTGTGAGGGAGAGGACCTTCAGAAGTGTAGAAGGATGAGGCCCATACAGTTGGGTTAGTCCTCACAAGCTCCTCATTTGGAACACGAAAGCCATGTAATAGTACAAATGACGACCCAGGGGATCTCGGCCGACACCCCCATGGCCACACCTTGGCGAGAGCTCAGCTACATATACCTTCATCTGAGAGCTGAGTCCATATTTGCCAGCGGTGCCCGGGCATATCCCAGGCCACCCTCCCTTCATCCCTGCTCCCCGCGTCTAACTCCCGTCATCCAGGAGAAGACCGAGCTCCCAGGTGGCAGGAACACGTGGAGGACAGACCTTGCATGGTGCTCCCTGAGGTTAACAAGACTAAAAGATGGGGCGAGGCGAAGAA